GTCTGGACTACTCTTTTCTGCACTAAGGTGAAGTAGATGTCAAATTCATAGTCAGCATCTTGCATTGCATGCCTGCCACGCTTTGCCTCTTTGTGGCCTGCTGGGCTCAGGTTGGGATTGTACCAGTCGCTGACGTGATACCATGTTCCAGCTACTCTTTCCATGTCGGATCTATACCAGGTTATAGGCAGCCATGCCGACAGGTTAGGGTGTAGACTCCTGACACATTTCTTCTTTTGTAACATAAGCACTGAATGCTGTAAATTACCTTATAAGAACAACTTAGCTGCACACTCACCATGATGTTGTATTTGCATTTTAATCTTGTTCTCTATATTTCTAATTTCTCTTGAGATTGCTCCTTAGACCCATGGATTATTAAGTGTGTAGCTCAATTTTTAAGTGTTTCGATGTTATTTTGTGTAATCTTGTTTCTAGTTTAATTATATTAGCATCAGAGAACATACTTTATATGGCTTAACTTTAAAATTTGTTAAGGTTTATTTTCTGACTCAGGATATGGTCCATTTTGGTGAATATTTCACATGCTCCTCATGGGTGCAATGGACAATCAGATTCAGTTGGTTGATGGTGTTGTTCAGTTCTATATACTTGCTGATTTTTTGTTTACTGATTCTATTACAAAGAGAGGAATGTTGAATTTTTTAAAAAAATTTTTTTAAATGTTCTTTTTTTGTCTTTTTGAGATGGGGTCTTGCTATGCAGTTCAGGCTGGCCTTGAGCTCACTTTGTAGCCCAGGCTGGTCTCGAACTTGCAAGGATCCTCCCACCTCAGCCTCCCGAGTGCTGGGATTACAGGCGTGAGCCACCACGCCCGGCGAAAATTTTTATTATAAAGTTGGGTATTTCTCCTTTTATCAGTTCTTTCTTTGTGTAAAATCTGTGGTTAGGTGCATACATGTTTAGTATTATTATATCTTCATAGACATTCAGTAATTTTATCACCATGGAATATCTTCTGTATCTCTGGAAATTTTATTTCTGCTGAAGTCTACTTTGATTGCCTTATAGCTACACCAGTTTTCTTTTGATTAGTGTTTACATGTTACATATTTCCCATCCTTTTACTCATAAACTATGTTACTACAACTGCAGTGGGTTTCTTAAAGAAAGAATACTGGTAGTTTGCTTTATTTGTAAACCATCCTGATAATTTCAGTCTGCTAACAGTGTCACCAAAGCCTTTGCATTCCAGGTACTTATTTTTATGGCTGGATGATGATATACTACTACTTGGTTTTTTTTTGCTTGTTCTCTCTTTTGTTGTTGTTGGTCTTTTCTGTGTTGGCTTCTCTCTTTTGGATATTTGAACATTTTGATGACCTTTATCTTTATGTATTTATTGTGATTTTGACTATATCTCTTTTAATAGTTTTTTGAGGAAGAATTACAAAATATGTACTTAACATTCATAGTCTATTTAGAATCAGCACTTTACTACTGTATTTGGAAGGATAGGAATTTTATGTATCTCTTTTTCATCCTCCTTTTAATGCTATTAAAACATGTTTCAGATGCCTAAATAACACTGAAAGTCCCATAAGACATAATTCTTACTTTCAATCACAGAAAATATTTCAACAAACTCAGAATCAAAATAATATTCTCTTTACCAAGATATTTACCATTTCTACTGGCTTTATTTCATCCCAGTGTTCTCGGTTTTCCTTCGGCAGAATTTACCTTCTGTCTGAACAACATCCTTCAGTAATTCTTTCAGGGCAATCCTATATATTCTCTTAATTTTCTTCCACCCTTGAATACATTTATTTCATTTCCATTCCGGAAAGATATTTTCCTGAAATACAGAAGCCTCGGCTGACTGTTCTCTTCTTTTTTGGGGGAGAAGATGCCAACATTTTCACTCTATAGCTGGAAGTCTTGATCTCACTTAACTTTTTGCCAACAAAATTCTTACTGGTATAGCAAATCTTAGAAATTTAAAAAGTATTTTATCCACATTTTCAGCTGGGAAGATCTTTCTGGATATTTAGCCAGCCATTTAGGAGAGACTTTGGCCATCTTTATTAAAATAAAGCTTTATGTTAAGAATTTCAGCAAAGTATCTCTGTTTTCGTCAGCTTTCAGTTTTCTGGGACATAATGCCTGACATAATCACATAATCTCTCCTTTAGAAGGAGAGACTTATTTGGCTCATGATTTAGAGGTTTCATTACACAGCCTGTCCTGTTGCTTTGGTTCTGTGATATGTGATATCTACCATGGAACATCATGGTAGATGAAGTCTATTTACCTCATGGCAGCTAGACAGCAAAGAAATATAAAGGGGTGGGGAAAGAGAAAGACAGAGAGAGACAGACAGACAGCTGACAGCCCTCAATATGCCTTCCAAGGGCATACCCTTAATACTGTAGCTGCCTTCAGAGGCCCCACCTTCTAATGGTTCCACCATCTCCCAATAGCACCACAACTGGCAAACAAGCCATGAAACCCTGGAGGACATGGTAGTTGCAAACTATAGCAGCCTGTAACATAGATGAACTGAGTAAGCAATGTTTATAAATTTGAACATTTACGTTGCAGGTATTTACACACATTATTCTTAACTCTAAGATGGGCATTCTACTTCTAATATTAATAATAATAATAATAATAATAATAATAATAATAAAATATTTATTAGACAAGGACATCCAGAGAATAAGAGATGGAACTAAGATTTTAATCCAAATGTCCTCTAAAGCTGGTACCTTGCCCAGTTTACTATGCTGCCTCCATGGTGGAGAAGGCTCCTCTGTGGAGACCTCCTTTAAACTATCTAGGAGACAGTAAGGAAGTAAATCCATTGCAAGGATTAGGGAGAGACTTTATTGTTATATTAATTGTCAGCAACCCCCAAAATAATGGGGATACACATAGGTCTGCCAAAGTTTTTACCAAGACCATTAAGACATATGGCACCTCTGTGAGTTGTTCAAACTAGTGAGCTCTTAAGGTCCTTTGTGATATTTGTCCAAATTCCAATTATGTATACAGTAAATAATTAAATTTAAACTAAAACTACCAGAAAAACTCTAAACAACTGATCTTCATTCATTTCAAAGCTTATAAATATATTTGGAAAGTAACAAGTGTTGGAGATGACTGGGTTGAATTTTACAGGGTGGTAAAAGCTTGCTCAAGTGACTTCTAAACTGGTCCACAGTTCTAAACATCTATAAGCTACCACAAAAGTCTTCCTAATTGGTCTCTCCAATCCTTCTTTCTTCTTAGTTTTGCTCTGTTGTTCATATCTTTACCTCAGCAATCTTCCTAAAACATTTTTCTTGTTGTTTCTGTGTGGTTTCTCCCTGTTCACTATTATTGTCTTAATTATTTGTCCATGGCCTTTCTAATCTGGTTCACAGTTATCTACTGTTGTCTCTCTCAACTCCCTGTTTCTAGTGGCTCATTCACTCATTTTTCACTTATTTTCAACTCTTACCACTTTTATTTTCATCTCCAAACCCCACTACGCCATCCCCCCACTTTTCTTTCCTGCCCTTCCTGTCTCTATCCTAGGGCATACTCCTTTATATTTTTTACAGATGCAATCTACAGATCCTTTTATAGCTGCCTCTTTTCATTCATTCAGTGGACATTTATCTGTGCAGTGAAGTGTAAGCTCCTAGGAGTACCTCTAAGGTTCCTTTTTCCATATAATTTTCTAAAAAGGATAGTATCATTTTTATTCCACATCCAGCCTATTGCGACTTCATCTTTGGGGAAGATCTCATTCTGATTCAACTGATGTATCACTTTCATCCCACACTTTGGCTATATCCAACTTTAATATGATCAGCCCCACACAATCTTGAGTTATACACCTACTGCATGCAATGTATCATAGTCTAGGTACTATCTCTTCCAGGCCTGTGACACAGCATATGGTTAAAACAAAGTAAGGAATATTTATACAGAGGGAAAATTTAATTATAAGTTAGTCTCATAACTAAGGCAGTCATAAATTGTGTTGCACAATGTTCTTGTTCTTAAATAAAACAATTATTAATGCTTAAGTACATGAATTATTTTGCTTCATGCTGTGAAAAAACAACCAAGAGATAATAGCTTTCTTTTAGTTTTTTTAAAAAAGGCATTCTATTCAAATGCTTGGTTTGCTTTCATCGCATGTTTTATTATTTTCCTTGTCATTTTTTTGCTACCCATCACCTTCCCGTATTTTTGCCAGTTAGTCATCAATACAGATGGGACTCAGGGAAGAACTGGCACAATTAACATCTTACTGGCCCAGTCAGCTTCCCCACCTCATCTCTCTTCCCATACTCCGGGGACGTGAGGGAAGGTAATAGAGGATGTTGTTAGGGGGACAGAATGCACTTAGAAGATTAAAAGACATTTTTTAAAAAAGCAAGAAAAACCATGATGTGAAGTAGGATAAAGGAATTAGGTGGTGTATTCTGGAATTGTTTTTACTTATATTGTGGAATTAACCCAAGCCTTTTGCCAGTCCCTGATGGTTATTATAAAATCACACATATTCAAGAGGTTAAAAATACCACATTCAGGTGAAAAATATTTGGTAACAGCTCTACAGAAATTTGGTGAATTAGGCAAAATGAAGAGGGCTGACATATTGCCTATCGTGTGTTTTAATAACACAGTTACAGTTGGTTGCAAAAACTCACATTTCACTGGCTAAAAGGGGCCACAGGTTTATTTTCATTTCTAAGTATGTTACTTGGTAGTATATGTAAGGATCTATTACCACTGCCTTTGCAATTTAAGCCTCTTGAAAATGCCATAAAAATAGTTTTGTTTCCAGTAGGTCAATGAACTTTCATTTAATCTTATTTGACTGTACTGTAGAAAGCAAGAAATAAAATGAAGTTTTAGGCTAGTTATGCATATATTTGAATCAAATACAAGAGTAAGGGAGATTATTTCATTTTTACTGAGGCAAGTTGCTGAGAAAAATACAAGTGATTATACTCTGCTTGCAATTTGCTGCTCCTTACCTAGAACATAAATCTCACTGTTGACTACGGCTGTGCTGAATCGGTACTTAGAGTACTGCATGGGCGCCCGCTCTTGCCATTGATCTTGGCTGGGGTCATACTGCAACAGTTTGTTGCTTAATCGATCAGGTTCTTCATCAGGAAGATCCATCTGTAGGGAATATGACAGTCAATATAACGCACCACTTAGAGGTCTTTGTGAGTACATGAGTACAATTAATCTAAGCAGACAGCCAAGAGATAAATAGAGGTTAACCACAGTGACACAAACACACCCAATCCCAGGACTTGAGCTTGTGAGTATCCTGTCAATCAGAGGAATTTATATTCTAACATGATGGTGCTAAGGTGCTGGGATATAGCAAACAATCTGTGATTCTAGTAGTGAGACACGACAGCTTTAAAAAAGAAATGAAGCAACTTAAAAATCTTAAAAATGAAACCAAACTCTCTTGAACAGTATTTAAAGTATAATTTCATGTTAACAAACTTTATAGTTGTGGATTTTAATATTTGTGTGAAACTTATTTTAATAATTCATAAGGCATTTGTCTAATGTGTGGAAGTTGCAAAAAATGTATTAGTATTTTAGCAATTAGATAATTTTTATGCCATAATTATGGCCTGTATATAAATGGCCTGAATTCAATTTTCAAGCTCTATGGACTAATATAAAGTTGTTTTTATGTACTCATTTATACATTTTTCACATCTAAAGATAATGCAAATGGAATATGTTTATATTCTTACACAGATATAAATGACTTTTCAAATTCTAGGTGAAATAATATTTTCTGTATTCAATGTATCTGGAACTTCATGACTTCAAGCTAAGGCTTCATTAAGTGTCTCTTTTTTTGTTTTGTTTTTGGATCCAAACGTTCAACAAAGAACTGACAAACTTATGAAAGCTGTGTGTAATTGACTTTAGTTAACTATCTTAAATATGCCAAGAGCTCTAAGCACTCTGATACATTCCCAACTCCAGGTTATTTTGCAATGTAATATATTGTTTTAGATATACAATCAGATTTAGATTTAGCAATATAATGTAATATTTTAGATATGCAATCAGATTAGTAAAAGCCTTTGTTATGCAGCACATGTTATTTGTTCACAGAATATAGATTAACAAATATTTACTATCTTAATTTTCCTTTTTTTTGAGACAGGGTGTCACTATGTAGTTCAGGCTGGCCTCGAACTCGTGGTAATTTTTCTGCCATGGGATTATAGGTGTGCACCACCATGCCTGGCTTAATTTTCCTTCTAATTGAAGTACTTCAGTACTAGTTTTTTTTTTTTAAAAATAAAGACATGCTCTTTAGTTGTCTTTGGAGCTTGTTCATGAAAAATTAACTATGTAAATGGACAGTTTTAAAAATGTACAAATCACTTGTCAGGTTTCGGGTACTAGATGTGATAAAATTTGTATTACTTTTTTATCTGCTAACAATAAAAATGGATTAAGTAGGAAGTTTAACTTTTAAAAACAAATATGGTACACTATAATTGGCAAATCCAAGCAAAATGCAAAATGAATACAAAGGTATCAGTTTTATCATGAAGCAAATCTGTAGGAAACAAGAAATAATGCAGACAAAAATACATTTGCCTTACATTATGGGTATGATAAATGAGATATGACTAATTTTTTTTAAAGGACTGGATGGCCAGCAGAGAGCAGCTGGAGAGACACTATTGTAAGTGCCAAAGGACCCAAGAGGACACTGAAAAGAGGGGAGAGGTCACTGAGGTCACATTACTGATTCTTTCATTTTGGCTGTCATTACTTCCTTGGCCTTCCATATAAACAGTATTCCGCTGTCCCCATTGGCTGGTGCTCTACAAAAACAGTGTTCATAATCATGATGTACTTTCCTGGACAGCATTACACTATCGCAGGATCAGTATTTTGGTTTCCCAGTTGGAGTAAGATTTTTAAATCTGGAAGAGACCTAAGAGTCTCTTGTTCCAGGTCACATAGCTATTGGATCTGGGACAGGTCTGGGATGAGGATTCAGGTTCTCTGCTCCTACTTAAACGTTCCCTACAAATAATCCCTTAGTATGAAACATCTTTCATAATTAGCAAGGATGAGAAAGACTATGAAGAATATAGCATGAATACCAAATGAAGTCATGGCTATAAATAACACACTTAAAATCCATTCTTCTAAATTGCTTCACCACTTTAAAACCTTAAATTTACATCTTATGAGACAGAAAGCAGTTTATCAAAATGTAAGTCATACTTTTATATTCAACAACTACAGCATTTCCAGCGGAGCCAGACTCAGCACAGCCATGCCAATGAGGTACACAAGAAATTTCTTAACCTGAGGGGTCCAGCCTCCAATCACATAAAGTTTGTTTTTCACTGTCACTACAGCATGACACGCCAACTGCAGTGGAAGAGGAGACACCCTTTTCCAGTTGTCTCGTTCTACAGAGTACTTATCAACATAATTTGTAATGAGGTACTGGTTTTTAATTTTCATCTGTCCTCCTACAACATAGAGGTCATTATGGACACTGCCCAGAGCATACAGCTCCCGAAATTCAGTTGTGCATAACTTTTCCCAAAACTGGTTTCCTCTATCATGATACCTGTAAATCAATAGAGAGAGAACCCAGGATTAAAGTTATGAAAACAACTCACCTAAGAAACACACTGAAGTTTCTTTTCCAATTAAAAACAATGAGATCTAGGCTTTGTAACATTAAAATAAAACAGTGGTACAGGTTCACTTTTTTTTTAAGGACTGATGACCAAAATATAATGTGCTTAAAGATGACTGATCAAAACTACCTGAAGAATTTTAGAAAAAATCATATGTAGAAAAAGTACAGATTGCTCAGGACTAGTGTTCATTTCCTAATTCTGGGAAAGAAAATCAAGAATGAGTAGGAAAGCTTTTCAGTAAATCATTTGTAATTTTGACATTAAAGAACAAGTAAAAAAAATATATATATATACACATTTGCCTTATTCAGGGATCAAGAAATATTTTCATGCTAAAGAAATTACAATTTTAGGACAGAATCCGAAAATACTTCAATTCAGCATTTCAAACAGGATGATGTGGGCTGTGTAGAATTTTAAGGATTGCTGTGGTTCTAATTGGTTTAAAACTGTGCCGACACTAGCCAGGCACCGTGGTATACACCTATAATCCCAATCTCTGGAGACTGAGGCAGGGGGATTGCTGTGAGTTTGAGACCAGCCTGAGCTAAACAATGGTTCAAGGTCAGCCTGAGTTACATAGTGAGACTCTGTCTCAAAAAAACAAAAAACAAAATTGGGTCAAGAGCACTGTATAAAAACACCATAAAGAAGGAAATGAAGGAGAGAACTGAGGGCAATGTAAGGGAGAGTAATGGGGATAGATAGATCAAAACATTTCTGGCATTCATGAAAATGCCACATTAAAATTTTGAAATATTAATATGCACTCATACAAGAAATAGAGAACACTAAGTTTTTTTAAAGCAGAAAATGCTATAGTTACAAGTTAATGAAATACAGTACTTAAAAATTCAAATAAACCCCCACCTCTGTAGAAGGCTGCTGGGTATTTAACATCTATTTTAATCAACTAGATATGGTAATTTCTTACAGGAACAGTTCCATCAGTCTGAAGGGAGTCTGGGGAGAGAGGGCCTGGAATATACATCTCAGTGCCTGCTGATCCGACACAGTAACAAATTGTCTGGCAGGAAGGGCACTCAGTACTTACTGAGTATATTTTGTCTTGTAAATCTATTCTTTCCAATCATAATTTGGAATACACAGTTTGAGAAGGACATAAGTACAAGGACACTGCAAAAGTACAGTGGGATAAATACATGAAATTAAATGTCCCAGAAAACCCAGGAACTTCGTGAAATTAAATGCAGTTAAACATATAAAAACATAGGAGAGCATGAAAAATAAGACAAAAGGTGTTCTGTTTGGAAAGAATAACAAAGATGAAGGAATAATATTATTTTGTACAGCATACAACTTTTAAGTAACATTTGAGAGTCATATAATGGGTATTTCCTGTAGCTGTTCCAGGTCAGCTGTCACATTTCCCAGAAAGAACATTTACTTAGGTAAACTGCATATCTGGCTTGTTACCAATGAATACAGAACTTTATCAAATCTTATGATGCCTGTTTTTCATATAACTCTAGGTAGAGAATGAGATTTTAGAATCACAGGTAATATTTTCACTACTATTTTTAATTGTATAGATTTAGAAGAGAAAGGAGGATTAACTGTCTTAACGTGGGGGTTACTGAAATAAAGCCAACTGAATGAATATATAAATAGAAGTAAAAATGGGTTTTTGTATTCTGAGACATAGTTTTAAGAAAGCTGGCTGGGAACAGAATACATCCCATGAAGGTTGGAAAGTACACATCTATTGGGTGATTGCTGATTTGATTTTTATAGTAATATTTAGAATGAAAAGGGGAAGAGAGAAAGTACCCATATTAAATTATAAATCTCACTTATGATAAAAGTGGATATAATATAAAAAAGTAAACAATAGTGACAAAAGCAATTAACAGGTTGATATCTTAGAGGTAACATATACCCTCTTGTATGCTGATGTGGGGAGATAAGTAGTATCAGAAATGCAAATCTTTTTCAAAAGAAATTCTTACTAGAATACTAGCCTATTTCTTCAAGAAGAACACATCTGCATAGAAATGTACATGTTACACAGAAAGGACAAACTCAAGCATCTGAACAAAGATGAAATGGTTAAGAAACAGAAATAATATTGCAGGAATGTACCACACATAGCACAATATATTCCTCACATGTATCACAAAACTGGCACTAAGGTGACTTTCTGAGGTGCTGGATTTTAACTACTCAGTCACTGACAGAAGTTTCATTTAAGCTAATAGCATGATGATTTCATTACTGGAGGAAATGGTGGGAGTCACTGGTAACTTTTACCCTAATTGTTATAGTTTAAATTTAAAGTGTTTCTCAAAAGTCTCATGTGCTCAGAGGTGGGGCTTTCAGAAAGTGATTGGATCTAGTGAGGACTCTAACTTCATCAAGTGGATTAATTCATTGATCAGTTCATCAGCTAATGGGTTTATCAGGAGTTGGGGCCTAATTGGATGATATACATCATGGTAGATATAGCTTTGAAGGCTATATTTTGTCCTTGGACTCTTGCTTTCTGTAAGTCTGTCCTGGCTGCCCTGAGGTAAGCAGCGTTCCTTTGTCATACCCTCACTGTGATGCTCTGCTTCACCTCTGCTCATGGTCATGGAACCAGCCAACCAAGCACTGAGACCTCTGAAGCTGTAAGCCCAAATAAATATTTTTTGTCTTTAAGTTGACCTTCTTATGTATTTTGTCACAGTGACAGAAAACTGATTAACACTAATTCTGACCAAAGTTGGGACTGAGTGGGCTTTCAAAACTAGGTAAGAGCAAAGATGTCCATGGATCAGAACAGAGACACTTTCAAAAAGCTGGATCTTTATTAAAAATAACTTCTGATGGGAGAATTGTGGACTGTTGAGCTGAAGATGAAGAAAAGCCATCTAAAGGATTTGAGGTACATGGTCAAATGTGCCTAAGATGCAAAAAGGGCATCTACTATAACCAAATTAAGTATACAACAAGAGCCTGGGTTCATAAGAGCCATGCCGGAGAGCCAGAGCTTTCTTCCTTTAGAATTTGACATTCTGGCTCTGCGGTCCATATCTGAGAACCTGGAGCAAGGCTGATCCTTCAGCTCAGTAACACATGACTCCAAGACATGATGTGGGTCCAGACCACTCACCTAGGGCTCCGCATCTGCTCCCCTCTTACTACAGGGGAGGGGGACACATCCTTGGGGGATGAACATGGGCTGTAGTTCAAAGCAGATACTGTGATGCCAAGTGACAAAAAGGAAGCAGTAGGTCTCTGAATCCTTTCTGTGTCACCTTCACTGTCACAAAGCAGGACTTTCTAACTGAACAGTCTGGAAAAACTGATAAAAAATCACTGAGAGGGGAAGGGTATGAAGAAAAGCTTTACCATCTAGTCTGTATTCTAGGTGTGAATTTTATATTCAGTTAGATTTAAGCATAACTCATTGACTACCTGCTGAACAAATGGTAAACGTATGTGTTTTCACAAATAAGACTCCAATGATACACTACTGATTAGCAGCCATTCTTGTTCTTCTTACTGCAATCCTAGAATTAAGATATCCTTCGGTAATGGGTATTTTTCAATACTAAAGGTTTAGGAAACATTCACAAATTAAAGTCACAGAATGAAAAATTTCTGGTTAGGAAAAAATTACTATTCTGAATGATAAACTAAAAATAAGTTCAAAAATATCTAGGTTAATAAACTTTTCTCACTGTTGAAATTTATATCAAGGGCTTTAAAAACAAAGCAATATATTATACCTTATCATATAAATAAATAGTGAAAGGTAAGAGTGGAAAACACTTCAAAAATAGCATACATACATTTAACTCAGGTAAATTTAACAAAGGAAGAGCAAGAGAAAATTTAACATGCCCAATTATGAATGCTACATTTATGCTATATTTATATTTATGGGTTTATACATATGCATACATACAACTCGGTTATGTATGCTATCCCTTATGGGAGATTTACAAAGTAATTTTGATTACATGTAATTTAAGTTATGACCACTCAGTAGTACTTGCCAATGTCAAAACAAGATAAAAATAATTTTCTGCTAGATACAAACCTATAAATTTCAACATTCTTGTTCTTTTGTCTAGAGAGTCTTGAAGCACTTGCTTCCCCAGCCACAACGATAGTGTTATTTTCCATGACAACGCCAGTATATACGGTCCCTAACCCCTCTCCGTACTTGGGAGACGAGATGAAATAGGTTTTCCGGGAAGTAGGATCATAACAAAAGCTTGCATCGCCATAGTTTCTGTGTCTTGACCTGATTCCTGAAGAGTTGTTGCCAATGCAAAGCAGAAGACTGGTGGTCTCCATGCCATAGCGAAGATTCAGAGATTGCTGCTGGGGTGTCTTGATGGCTTTGAATGCATTCTGAATGATGTCAATGCAGCTTGCATCACACAGCAGCATTGTATTCCTTTTGAGGGCCTGCCTTAAGAAAGAAGGATTTATAAGTTCCAATCTGACTTCCTTCAAAAGCTCAACGAGATGCTCTGTGCGCAATTCTTGGTTATGATTTACCCATCTCAGCACCAAGTCCAGAATGCTCTCCTCTCTGGATATGTTAAGATCATCTGATTTAATAAGTGCCAGAAATTGGTGCACTTCCACATCTAGTATTTCTTCATGTAAGCTCACTTCAGCAAAGTGCTGATACAAATACTTCTTTGACTGATCGGATAAATCCTCAGCTCCAATCTGCTTTGCGAAATAATAAATTCCTACACAGTTGGAGGCATCCATGTGGTCCATCATGTATTTCTGACACGCTCTGAAGACTTCTTCCATCTGCATAAAATAGGCAGCCATAGCCACGGTCTGCACATTAGCATTGTTGATCTCCAGAGCTGCACTGTACATGTAATTTAGTATCACTGATACACTCTCTGCTGTAATGTCATAGAGGACGACTTCCCTCTGAGTACATTCCAGCAGTCCACAGGTGAACATAGCTTTGAAATAAGGACTAAAGGCAGCCAGGACCAGTCTGTGGCAAGGGAATTTCTCCTCTTCAGCAATGAGCACTACATCAATCATTTCTGTTAATTCTCTCATGTTCTTAATTGTATTCAGTAAGTTCAAGCTGTGTTGGCATTTCTCTTTTCCCTCAGTCTTGCGCTCCATGACACACTCTCCGAAGTTTCTGGATCTTCCTTACGTTTAGCTTGATTCCTGAGTAGCTATTTGTTTTTCTGATTACTCACAGAGATGCCACGAAATACCCCTGAGGGTAGGAAAACAAGTAGTTTTCATCTAAGAAAAAATTTCTTTAATTGGAATATGCAGCATTAGTGCCAAGAAGTATTTAAAAATAAATATAATTCATTGTAAACAGAGCAATTTAAGACAGTTATTTTTGCATCTGAAAGTGTCTTTGATATGTAACTAGCAAATTATTAATTGCTACAAAAATATTTCCTAAACAGCAGTGGAGATTTTTCGAGGAGTGTTCCAGTAGGAACAAAGAAAGAAGGGACATGAAGAACATATTTGCCATTCTAGTTCAGTTAAGAAATAAGGCTAAACTGCAGGTAGAATGGCACAGGGCACCAGTTAGTATTCTCTCTAAACGCAGTCTTACCCAAAAGTTTATATGCACCCTCTCCAAGAATACAACCATGTGTTATAATGACCTGACCAGGGCCAGGCAGAATATACCCTGGAACCTGGATGATTGGGAACAAAGTACACTAAAATTCTGCTCAAACTTTGACACTGGACAAATAATTCAAAGGAGAAGATAATACAAAGATCATTTCTATTGATCTTTGAAAAGCACAGGCAAATGTCTGCTTATCTGAGAATTCACGGTGTTTGGAACTTCCAACTAAATCATGCTCAACCTAGAAAATGCACCAAAGCCTTCCGATTTCTCTGTCCTCACTCTTTGCTCAGCTCTTCTTTGTTCCCCATTTCATAGTGGCAGAAATGAACTGCTTCTTGCTTTAAAAAGCACTAGTCTAATTAAAAGTCTTTTCAAGCTAGTGGTGCCATCTTTGCCTTCCCGGGGGCAATGGAAACAGGAGGTTTCAAGATAGTTAATTAGCTGCTTTGATTTAAAGGATATTCCTAGAGCCAACCTTCACATGAGATCTCCAGCTTCTGCCTCCTTTCTTAGCTCCTACTTGGCTTAAAGATGCATATATGAGAATAAATGTTGACAGCAGAAAAGTTAGTCCTGACATTTGAGGAAGGAGAGGTAAGATTTCAATAATATGAACACAAAATTTGTCAGCTATGAAAGGTAGACATTTTCTAAACCTCTGAAGCCCTGTAGAGAATTAAGAATCTCATGAGAAATGACGTTTTTGAGCTTGAATTAAAGCTCATTTTAAGAGCAAGTGTTACGCATGACGGGAATGCTCAATTGTGTGATGGTAACTCTAAGACCTATGAAGCACCGTGCTGAAGTCTGTGGAATTATAACAACTAGCTAACGTCAGAAGCTGTACAATTTAACCTCTCCTGTCCCACTTGCTGGACTTTCTGGTATTGATGACTTAGTTCTATCTTCAGGGATTGAACCTGGGGCCTTTACACTAGCTATATCCTCAGCTTTTTTCTTTCATTCTTTTCTTGTCTTGTCTTGCCTTGTTTTGTTTTGTTTTTGTTTTGTTTTGTTTTGTTTTGTTTTGTTTTGTTTTGAGACAAGGACTAAATTGCTAAATTACTTATGCTGCATTTGAGCCTCTCAAGAGTGCTGGGATTACAGGTATGCACCACTACCCACAGGTAGTATATTATAAACAACTTCATAGTGGATGTTGTTGGATTTCTTAATCATGTAACCTGCCCTCATTTAGTGCAGTTGGGGTTGGACTGACTCCCCCACCCACTGTTACTGTTTTGGGGGCAGCACCAGACCTGAGATTGGTCTAATCAGAGTGAAGCATGGGTCTCTGGTTTGATGACTAGGGGTTCACACACTGTAAAGGAGGGAGGTCAAGGGCTGCTATAGCCATGATCCTATAAATCAGCCTGGAGACAAAGCAAATCCGAGACACAGGCAGAATAGTTATAGAATTTGAAACACGCCTTATATCCGTAGTTTTCAGTTATGAGAGACAAGTTAAGCTGATTTTAATTAGAATTGCTGATATTTTTAATCAAAAATCATTCCTTGTGTATGTAAGTGGTACATGCAGAAAATATTTAGAAAAGGTTGCCTAAAGTAATTGTAATTATATAAAATACCATTTTTGCTATTCTTATATTTTCTATTATTAAACTGTCATGTAAGAGAACCACAGAAACCTCTTCTCAGTCTCCTTTCTCCTTGTTATAAAACAACAGATCACTTAAATCATTCTTTTGAGTTTGCCTCTTTTCATGAAATGGACACAAAGTCAGCAATCTTATCCACTCTCTCTAGTGCTAGGGCTGGCAAGACAGGGCCAGACAGCAACTATTTTAGCTTTGCAGGCCACACGGCCTCTGTTGCAGTCATCCAAGTTTGTAAACTAATGAGTGTGGCTGTGTTTCAGTACGTTGTTTAATGGCGAGCAAAACCTGAATTTCATATATATCATATCATATTTTCACGTCATAAAGTATTATTCTTTTGAATTTTTCAAGTCATTTAAAAGGATGAAATCCATTCTTTTTAAAATTTTTATTTATTTATCTATTTTTTATGAAATCCATTCTTAACTCAAGGGCTATAAAAAGCAAGTGGCAGGTTGCTGACTGCTGCTCTAATGTTATAAATAAATGCATCCTCTATTTTGTGAGTAGGACAACATTCTGTCTGTGTGACTAATTTCCACTTCTCTTAGATTCAGCCGAAGAGTTCTGAGAGAGGAATCTTCCTGTTTTAAGATCACCTGATTTCCTCAGATTCTCAAATATAAATCAATTTCTTGAATAACTATTGTACATGAGTGCAGCTTCCCAGTATCAAAATTGGCTTCAACAAATAACAAAAATTCAGAATTTATTTTAAAACAGAAATAACCATTTCAAATACTCTAGAGAAACATTTATTATGAAAAACTTAATTAGGCATATGTATTTGTTAAGTATTCCTTCTTTCCACATGCCCTTTATATGTCTCAAAAGCTACTCTAATTGCTATGAATTTATAGATTAAATGAATTTATTGATGGAAATCCTGAAAAATGCCTATGAAGTTAAATTAGCCACTGCACTTCAAAAACATTCTCAGTATTTTTTTTCTTTCTTCTTCTTCTTTTATTTTTGGTTTGCTTTTTGAAAGGGTCTCGCTACATATTCCATGCTGGACTTGAACTTTCTATGTAGCCCAGGCTAGCCTCAAACTTGAAGTGATCTTCCTGCCTCAGTCTCCAGTGTGCTGGGGTTACTGGTGTACACCACCATACCCAGCTTCAGTATTGTTCTTGTAAGCAGAAAATGCATAGAAAATACTGGCATGGCAGATAGGGAATTTAAACTGAGAAAGTCCTGTGTCTGAATCCTGGGTTAGCTGCTTACATGCTGTAATCTCCAATTTATTAAGACTTTCTAAACTTTGGTTTCTTCCTTGGTAAATGGTGATAAAGTACATAAATAGTTAGATTAGTACTAGGCATCTGAATGCCCAGATTAAAGACTTTTGGTTTGCATAGACTGAGCCCTGGGTTTGAATCCTTGTTGTTGGCCTTTTTAGATTCTAGTTTTCTCACCTTGGATTCGTTTCAGATTTGAGCTGGGGATATAGCTCAGCACCATAAATGCCTGCATGGCAAGCGCAAGGTCATGAGTTCAATCCCCATACCAAAATACAAAAACAAACAAAGAAAACCACTTGAATATTTGGGAGAATGAATAAAGCCATGAATGTACAACTGTAACTTGCTTGGTAAATTTCACTTGGTTAAAGTTGGTACAGAATATACCTGTAAAATAGTTCTTCAAACAGTAAAAATATTTGGGTGCATGTACAAATCACTTGACACAGATCTAGCTCAACACAAATGAAGAGAGCTGACGGCAACTTTTTCTCATAATGAGGGCAAAGAGTACATTCTCCTTTCATCAGCAAAACAAAATTGTATAAATGTTCTCAATGATATCAATGGGAAGTTATTCTCTGCTCCAATTTATAGAAGACTGGACTGGTGCATTCTTAATAATAGTACCCATAATAATGGAGAAAAATGAGTAGCAAAGATAAATATAAATCACAAGAATAAAGCCTAATTACTTTGCAAATCCACAATGCAGTTATGCTCATGTTCATTATATTTGAGAAATGGACTGCTATAAATTTTAGTGTGGGGCAAAAATGTCATTTTCCTTAAATCACAAATGTTTTGCTCTTATAATCTTCTATGGTCTTCATATTATCTTTACAGTGGCTATTTCTCTGAATAATGGATAAAATGACTAGTCCTTCCTCTTTATGAAGATTTCCCATATTTTGCTGAAGAAAAACTAATTTAAATTTACAGCAACACTGCTTAGAATAGTGATAACTTGAAAAATTACAATGCCATTAACAGCACAGATAGACTATAGTTTATTCACTCAAAACAATGTTGTGCAGAAAAAAAAACTAGATCTACATATATTCATGTGGATGAATCTCTGTGTAGAAGACTACAGGATAATGCTGCACACTGCTAATATGTTTAAAATATGAAAGTAGTATTATATATTCTAATAGAGTAAATGTAGGCCATATATTTTGATGAAGTAAATATAAACAACTGGTAATCTAGCTAAAGGGGTTTTCTGTTCCATTCTTGGAACTTTTCTTTAAGGTTTGAAGTATATCAAAATAAAAAGTTTTAAAAATGAGAGATTCTTTAAGAAGCCATAGCACTGTAGTGGAATATAAGGAAATGAAGTGTAATTTTAAATGCAGGACAGTGGTTGCCTTCAGGAGGTGTGGAAGGAGGGGGAGAACAACAAAGAGTTTCAATAGTATAAATATTTAATTTTTCCAGCTCTATGGTGGTACCCTATATATATTTTATTATTCTTGATGCTGTTTTCATGTGTTAAATATTGTATAAGTCATAATTTTTAAAAACTGTCTTATATTTGTTGTATATCTTTTGAACCTCTAACCCTCATTATAAACCACATCTGTGCATTATCTAATTAAACATGCCCTATGTAAAGGGAGATAACAGATACATTATGAATTTTCTTTTTAGAGGATCAAAGTATAGGCAGCCCAGATATAAGTGACTAGAAAATGCAAAACATTAAAACCTCCAATCCAGTCTGAATAATAACAGCTTTGAAATTTCAAGGTTGTAGCCCTCTTGTCCCAATTTCTCTGGCATTGGTCTGTGTGATGGGAAGAGACTGGATACCAAAAACCCCTGAAATCTAGAAAACTGATAGGGCTCCTAAAGCTACACAATCTTCCTAAAACTCCCTTATTAGACTTGGGTACCCAGGAAAAACCCAGGAGAAAATATCCCAGTTCCAATGTTTAAGGCAGAATCCTCTTGGCAGAGGGACCTTTTTTGCAAACTATTCATGACCATATATAAAGTTTTTACCCTATATTTTAAAAATTATCATGGGTCTCCTTTCACCACCACTCACTAAGGCTCCTCACAGTCTGACACTTTCCATCCTTTCTTGCCTATCTCCTGACTTCCCTTCCCTGGGACTGTCAATGTTTTGTGGTATTACTGAACTGCTGACAATGCCAGAACATATTCGCTGTCCTGTCAGGAGTATCCTTCTACCTCTGTCCACCTGAAAACTGTAACTGGCTCTCCCAATCCAATCAATCCTTTCCTAGTGAAACCATCGCTTCCCTTCCATGTCCATCTGGACCCTGTTACTGCCATTTATTTATGCCATGCTCTCCTGTCCTTTCATGAAGAGCATGGGATTGGGGGAGTCTTAGGTCTTAATCACTTTCCATTTTTTAACATGGCTGTGAGGACACTTAGCAGACTTTTCTTCTATATACAAAAGTCATGCTTTAAGTTGCTAACCTCTCACTAGTCAGATGCATAATTCAGAATTATGAACAATCTTGATTCTCTTGCATAAAGCTCGATGCATTATGAAATCTACCTCCCATTCCTACACTCAAAAGTAATTCCCAGTCATCACTTCTCTGAGATTCCCATTTGTAGAGAATGTCAGGTTTACTTAGGTCAGAGATTATAAATTGGCTGCTAATCTATTTCATTTTCTTCCTTCCTCCCTTCCTCTCTCTTCTCTCTCTTGTCTTTCCTTCTTTTTGGTAAATTAGTTGTCAACATGCAAGTTGAAATATGCCAACATCTACTGGAAAAATGGAAGAGATGGCAACAATCAGCCTTTAATTCCCTGGCAGTGTGCAGGATCTGAAAAGCCAGAGGGTGCCTCTAGGATGGCACATCTGCCCTCCAAGGGCCTGGCCTCCGTGGTCCGCTGCTGAGAGCTGTCCTCACTGCCCATCTGACCCTGCTTGCTTAGATTACCTTATTGACATTTAGATTGGCTTCCCCTACTTTACATCAGAGCCTGTCCATACTGCCAGTTTCTGCATCATCTTGCTCAAATCTGATCCATGTAGATGCTTGGATCATGTGCACTGCCCTAAATGTGCTCCGAGGTTCCCACTAGTGTGGAAACGACCTGATTTCATTTCAACAGTAATAATCCATCCCGCACGGTAGGCAGTGAATAATGGTCGGACACATGAATGATGAAGACAATAAGACAAGTTTCCTTTTTTCCTTTCCTTTGATGAGATCACAATGTTTTGCACTCTCCCAGTGCTTTCTACTTTTCAAAGTACTTTAATATGCATTATAGCTCATTAGTTCCTCTTAAGAATCAGTGGGGAAAATGTGGGGCAATTATTTTCCAGGCTTTAAAGTTAAGAGAGTTGCCCAGGGATACAATCCACGTCGACTGAATTTAAACGAATCATTCTAAGTGCCAGGCACTCTTCTAGGTCCTAGCTGCCCCTACCTTACGATGGACGCTGGTCATCTGGCGAGGACAGCAGAAGGTAAGTCGGTGGAGAATTCAGAGAAAGACATTGTGAGGAAGGCCAGGACACTGACATAGGGACAGCCAGCCGGCAGGCTGTGGGGCAGACACCACCTGGCCCCTGGGACCATGAGCTCAAGGTCGCGTCAAGGTCGTGGGCTGTGCCCTCCCTGGATCCCAACCTTCCGCCCCTACTTACGCCCACTTGCTCTGCAGGGCCCCGCAACAGCGCTGCAACCCAGCCGGCATGCTCTGGGGTCGACGCACCGGGAGGGGCCTGACCCGCTGCACTGCCCAATATGGGCCTGAGCCTGACAAGCGATATAAATAGACGGCGCCGGTTCCTTGGCTGGCAGGGGGCCGCGGGTCAGCGCCTGAGGCGGGGGAGGGAAGCAGGGAGGGCGCTCGCGGGCCTTTTGGATGACAGGTGCTCCTCCGCGTTGGAGCAGGCCCAGAGCACGCGCTTCCGGCTGCTCTGCGCCTGCGCGGGTCTTCCCGCGCAGATTCTAGAGAGCAACTACCACAGCCTTCTGGCCCCTCTGCGCCTGCGCGAGTCTTCCCGCGCCTGCCCACGTGCCAGAGGGCTGAAGAAACGGAGTCACAGCGTATTTTAGAACAGAATTTAGGATTGGACTTTTCAAGGTGATGGATCTTTCGTTTAATCCGTGAAAGCTGCAAAACGAACAAAAAACTCTATACGTGTCCCTATTGCGTGGACCCCCAGTAGAGTTGTCAGGTAAAATGTGGGAGCCCAATTAAATGTAAACCTTAGATATGCAACCAGCATTTTTAGTATAATATGTCACAGGCATTGGTCATCTCATTTTTATTTTTTTAAAAATTTATTTATTTATTTGGTGCCGGGGTTTGAACTCATGATAGCGTGCTTGCCAGGCAGACGCTTATATTCCTGAGCTAAATCCCCAGCCCCAGCAACTCATTTTAAAATCAATGTTCTCATTTGTGTATGTGTGTAATACTATATCAATATCACATTGAAAATGAACTTTTGTTGGTAAGTAAATTCCCTTAAAACATTTTAGAAGGTTTTCATGTTAATGAAGACTCTTTGCATGCATTTGTATTTACATGTTATGTATGTACAGTTATTTGAGAAAATTCTTTCTTTCTTACAAACATTCCTTGATCTATCAGCCCCAGTAAAATCCTTCTACAATCGTTGTATTCCCACTTTTTTTTTTGATAAAGTGTTGTGCAAAACTAATAAGCTCTCCTCAGCTTACTGTAGTGCCCTCTTCAAATTCCTATTTGACTGTTTTATTTCACCTTTTTCATTGGTTACAAGAAGCAGGATTTCTTGTGAGGATCTATAGCTTGATATCCAGAGATATCACTTAGTGACAGAACCGAAAGAGATACTTGGTTCTGTCACTAAGTGATGTTAGATGATTCTCAAAATATTAATTTACCAAATACTTAGTGAAGTGTAAGTATTTATCGAATATACTGTTTTACCCAGAAATAGGACTGGAAGTCTTGGACTTGGAGGATGACTTTTAAGAACAGGTTGGGCCAATGAGTTTATTCTTAGTCCTTTTGTGTGTGTGTGTGTGTGTGTGTGTGCATACAAGATGTGGTGTATGTTAGCTTTAGGATCTGCAGTTTTGGGTGAAGCACCTGTAGGCCCCCTGTGGGAGGGTGGGGCTTCCAGAAGCTGCCACACCACCATTTTTTTTTTTTTTTGTCCTCACTGGTTGTTTTTGTCTCAGAGTGTTGTTGATATCCAAAGGACTCAAGAGTGTTGTTGTTGGTACATATTCACATTGTCATCCTATAGAGCTTCACATTGTAGCCATGTGCACACACCTGCTGCATCCTATTGTGTTATCCAGCTTTCCATCACTGTAACAAATATCAGAGACAATCCATTTATGAAGAGCAAAGTTTTAATTTGACTCATAGTTTTGGAAATTTGGGTCCTGGAAGAAAATGGCAGGGTACACCCACTTACCTCATGGCTAGGAATTGAGAGAGAGAAAGGAAAAGATGAAGGCCCCATAATGCCCTTTTAGGCTATCTTTCCAATCGCTTGAAGACCTCCACTAAGCCCCATATCTTCAAATTCCTGCCATCTCTCAATGTTGACAAGCCGGGAAGCAAGCCTTCAGTGCAACAGCCTTTCTGGACATTCCAGATCCAAACTGGTGCTCACCATGCCTGTGTTCTTCCAAATGGTCACACATTTCAGACAAGTGTGAGGCAAAACAGGTACAGGGAAAGGAAGGTGGGCCTGGATCTGGGGCATCCAGCACTCTGGCCTGGTTCTGTTTTCTCCCTGCAGCCTCATAGTGTCCTGTAAGTCACCAAGCTTCTGGGCTACCGTAGACAAATGATAATGGGTCTGTCTCCCTTCTGGATTATTAGGTGAATGAGTTAGGAGAGCTAATAGTGAGAAAGTACTTTGTTAACTGGAAAGTTACACCAAATCATCACCCCTCGTCAAAGGCATGTGTTTTTAAATGGGATCTCTTTTTCCCGAAGTCTTGACAGGGGTACAGAAACCATCTCCTACTGATAATCTTTATTTCCTTCTGTTGTGAACCAGTTATGGACCATATTTCTTGAAGCACATTTCTTCCACTTGGAAGACCCCATAAAAGGGAGGCTGTGAAGCAAAGCCATTATCTGTTCATTAAGCCACACTTCTGCGCTTACAAGATGTGGAGTCAGGTTCAGACAGGCCTTTAATCTTGAGGCGATTCTGGGCTACCCACAGCTTAATCTAGACAGCATTTGTAAAAAGACATGAAGCTTTTTTTTTTGGTACTGGGGATCAAACTCACAATCTTGTGCTGCCAGGCACTTAGGCCACTGAGCTAGATCCCCAGTTTGAAACCTTCTTGAAGCCAAACTTCTCTTCATATTACACCACTATTTCATTTCCCCCAGCAACAAAATCCCTAGTACTGAATATATGAATGTTCAAAGTCCTATTTTAGGCAGGGCTCAAGTAATTTCTGAACATGCAAGCATGATTAATTGTTGCCTCATTAAGTCATGACCAGAGACCTTGCATATTGTAAGATATGTAGGCTTGGCTGCTTTGATACAGAATTAAAAGGAGTCCTCTGTGTGTGTGTGTGTGTGTGTGTGTGTGTGTGTGTGTGTCTGTATGCCTGTAATTCCAGCCACTTGGGAAGCTGAAACAGGAGGGTTAGAAGTTCAAGGTCAATTGGACAATTTAGTGAGATGCTATCTCAAAAGGGAGGGATTACAGGGTGTGTGTAGCTCAGTGGTAAAGCAGTACCTCAATTAAAAAAAAAAGAGGAAGAGAAAGGAAAGAAAAAAGAAGATAGGAGAACTTTGTAATCTAAAGGGAATTTTTTTGTGTGTAACTGCATGGGTGGGCACTGAAAGGCTAATAAGGCGCCTGTGATTGACCCCAACTCCTTCTTGTTACACTTCCCCTCAAGTATCTCTCTCATTCACCTACCCCAAGGTGACCCCCACCACTTCCAGTCAGGGGGAGGAGGAAGAGGAAGACCAGCCCTTTTCTTTAAGGGAATACTCAGAAGTCACAGACATGACTTTGCTCGGATATCATTGGACCTACTAAATTCTGTGTTCAAGCCACAAGGGCGTGGGAGCTGAAAGTCCAGTTTATCCAGGGGACCAACGAGAATAAAATTATGCTGAATCTAAAGCTAGCATCCTTGGCCCTCACCCAGTTTCTAGAGATTCATGAGTTCTCTTTTCACCCTTCATGGAGCCTTGAGCCTTGTATCTCCAGCCCCTTTCAGGCTTAGGTTTGCCTTTGTTCACCTAACAATATGGTTCATGGCTCCTCTTCCAAACACTGTGAGGTCAGAAAGTATGGCTGTCACTGGTCTCCCGTGTCCCCAGAACCTAACACAGTGCTTGGCACAGAGTAAGTGCTCCATAAGTAGTTGGGAAATGAGTAAATATAATTAGAGAATGCTCATTATTTCCTAAATCCAGCTTGAATGTCACCTCTTCTGTGCATTTTTCACAGAAGACCTTGCCAGCCGAAATGATGATGCAGTTTTGTGTATTCCAGAGCGCTTCTGCTCTGCAGCACTGCTGGTAAATGGTCCTTGGCTCACAGCATTACAGTGGTCCAGGGTCTCATAGCCTTCAGGACAGAAAGTGGTTGCACTTACTTCTGTCTCCCCAGTGATCAGCACTTACCTGGCACATAGCAGAGGACTCCAAAATTTTCCCTCCAAACTTCAGGTTGAAATGCAATTGTTGCTGTGATGGTATTGGGATGTGGAACATATAAAAGGTCACTATGTCCTGAGGTTGTCCCCATGATTGAGGTTGTTAGGAGAGGGTTGATTAGGTACAGTGAAAACTCACGCCCTTCTCTGTGTCACCTGCCCTTGCCTATCCTTTCACCATGTTATAACCACACAAGAAGGCCCTCGCTAGGTGTGGCCCTTGACTTTCAACTTCCTAGCCTTCGGAACTATGACAAATAAGCTTCTTTCTTTCTTTCTTCTTCTTCTCCTTCTCCTTCTTCTCCTCCTCCTCCTCCTTCTTCTTCTTTTACAAGTTACCCATTCTATGGTATTCTATTACAGCAGCAAAAAATTGCCTGAGACAGGGGCATATTAATTGAACTGATTTGTGTTGTGAAATGAATGTCTTCTATATAGAACAAGGGAGTTTTTGCTTTCCCATTATGTGCTCTTGACACTGCTCATGGTATCTTCTCTCCCAAAGTATCCTTGTATTGGGCACTAGCCATTCCTTCTGCTTGCTAGCACTCAGGGGTGGAGTGTCTCATACTGTATTGCAAAAGAAAGGTCTGGTCTACCAGTGAACCCATGTACTGCAGCTTCTCTTTAAATTTCCACCTGAACCCTGCAATTTGTTCTTTCAGAATAATTTGGCATTGATGTCAGAATGGTTATGCCTCCCTTGACATCTGTCCCTTCCTTTGGTCATTTCCCGGATGGTTATCACATGCCAATTTCCTAATCCTTAAAATTACATGCCAACTATTTCCTAATCTTTAGAAAATAAACCCTTAAATCTTTCTGTTACCTTGGTTGCCCTTCCTAGTGGCTTGTTTTCATCTTCCCTCTTTACACCCGGTAGTTACAAATATGTGACCTGTGCTATGGTGGCCATTTCCCCATTCAACGTTTAGCTAAAGTTGCTCTTCAAGTGTTGTCAAGGGGCCTTTAAAAGCATGTTTTAAATGTTTTGGGGGGGAGGGATTAAGATGGTAGAGTAATAAGCAGCAGAGAAAAAGCCTCTTGGAGAGTCACCATCCAGATGCTAGAATATTGCAATGTGAGGAAGACAAGAAGGAAGGAAGTGGGTTTCTGGGACCCAAGAAGAATCTGAAGTGAAAATTGAAACCCATGGAGAGACTGAAGAGAAACTTCAACAAATAAGGAGGAGGTAGCCGGCTGTGTTTTCTCTCACTGTGTGAGAGGAGT